CTTTCTGTGATGAGGAGAGTTGAGTCTCTCACTTCACCCCATGGTTCCTCATACCCAGCCCTCTTAGAAGACTGGGGTCCTCACCACGCCCCACAATCCAGCCACCCTGAGATCCACTTCCTCCCTTCCCCCTCACCTCTCTCTTCCCACAACACAGTGCCAGGCTGTAATCTCCCCAAGGGCAGAGGCCTGTCTGGGGCCCCCTGGCACATGCTGGCACATGGGCTTCTTAACAAGCACCCTCTGGGTGAGTGAGTGACCATTGGGAGCTACTTGCTGGCTCCCTGCCTCTCAGGGAGCTGCCCAGTCATCTGAGCTCACGTCCCCCACCGTGGCACAGGGACCGCTCCTCTTCCTGGTGTCTCTCATCTCCGGGGCTTATTTATTGCTGTGGTGTTTCAAATGCCAACAATTAACTTAATTTCCAACTCATTGCTGTTGTCGCAACACCGTGCGTCCTTCCGGGAAAACACACGTCTCTGTCAAGACGTTAGCTCTGAAGGAGTCTGAGGGGCCCACTCCAAGGATCTGATAATTGCCAGAGAGGAGCTCCCCATAATTAGAAAATCACATTCCTTAAAAGTCACCAAGTGCCTTTTAATTTAACAGCCCATTCCATAATTGTTCTTCACTTTGCAGAAAATTATGACGCCAGACTCTCCCGGATCGACATCGCCAACACACTGAGGGAGCAAGTCCAGGATCTGTTCAATAAGAAATATGGTGAGTCCTGGGCTCCTGGGTAGAAGGGGAGTCGGCCGGGTGGGAAGAGGACCTTCCCAGGTCCAGCCATGGTCACCTCTGGGAAAACCATTCACCCACCAGGCACTGGCGATACAGCAGTGAGGAAAACACACAGTCCCTGCCCTCATGGGCCCCGTAAATAGTTGGGGTGAGACAGACAATCATCCACTATACACAGAATCTAGTGACAATGAAGAATGGCTCCATGATCATAGAGGAAAAAAGCAAGCTGTTCAAGAGACAATAGCTTGGGTGCTTACTTAAAATGGGAGCCAGGGAAGGCCTCTTTGAAGAAAGAACTGAAGGAGATAAGGAGTTAATCAAGCAGAGTGTGAAGGAAAGACATTCCAGCTGAGGTAATGGCGTGTGCAAAGGCCCTGAGGCTTGTTCTAAGAAGAGGAGAAAGCCAAAGCCTGGGGGTACAGGTTAAGGAAGGAGGGACCCCCATGGAGCTGGCCAGGATATCATCCATGGTATCAGCTTTGTATTTCGTCGGAAGGGCTGATATGACTGGAGTCACTTTACACTTGAAGTATCTTCCTGGCTGCTGTGAGGAAGGTGAATGGGTACAGGAGGGCGAGGGTGCATGCCGGGAGACCAGCTCAGAAGGTGAAGTGGTAGTTCAGGCCGGAGCAACGATCTTGGTTGGGGCCCTGGCCTTGGTGCTGAAGGAAAGTGGATGGAAGGAAAGTCAAGATGTGTTCAGAAGAAGAATCATTGGTGCTGAATTGGCAGAGTGGGAGCAAAACAGAGGCCTCCAATTGAGTCCTGGCTTGAATCAGTTAAGATGCTCTATGGTCTCAAGTAACAAAAACAAACTCAAACTGGTTTCAACAATAAAGGGAGTTAATTGGTTTGTGGTTCAGTTACTATGACTACAGAACAGAGCACCCGAAAACAGTGGCCTAAAATAACAATGACCATTTATGATCTCATGGTGTCAGTGAGTCAGGAATTTGGGAGCAGCTCAGCTGGGTGGCTCTTGCTCAGGGTATCTCCTGAGGTTGCAATGAGAAGGTAGCTTAGGCTGGGATCATCGGGACAGCCTCCTGACCCACATGTCTGACCCCTGGGCTGGGAAACAGCTGGTGCTGAAACAGCTGGGCCCCTCAGCCATCTCTGACAATTTCTGTGTGATTCCCTCCCCGTTGGCTTTCCTGCATAATGACTTCACGGTAGCTGGATTTCCTACTTGTCAGTCAGGGCCCCTGAGGCATGTGTCCTGAGAGGGAGACCCAGATGGAAACTGTTTTGCCTCAGGTTGTGCAGTGTCACCTTTGTTATACTCTAGTGGTCAAGGCTGTGGAGGAGTGTCCATGTTACACTGTAAGAGGAGCATGAGGGATGGGAGAAAGAGTAATGTAGCTGTCTTTGGACAGTGCAATCAGCCATAGCTCCTAACACAGGATGTCTGGCAGTAAGATGGCCTTCAGAGTCTGCTGGATCCAGTAGCCTAGGAATGTCCTTTGTGTCTTTCCATAGTGTCAGCATCGTCTCAGGCTGGCAGAATGGCCACAGCAGGTCCAGACATCCCATCTATACATTCTGGAAGGAGGGAGAAGGCTGGCTCTTCCATAGGCTTTCTCAAGAGAGCCAGGTTATTTCTTCCCCAGAATTCCCTGAGCTCTCTCCTAGTTTCTCATTAGTCCCCACTGAGTCATCTGTCCATTCCTGACTCAGTCGCCATGACAAGGAAACACCACATGCTCATTAGGTTACCTGGACCTGTCACCGTGACAAGGGGGAGGGGTGGAGCACATGGTGCACCAAGGTCAGGCGGACACCCAAACTGTCAGGGAGAAGGGGCAGCACCCTCACTGAGGTGGGAAGTTCGAGGGTGGAGGTAATGGGTTCCAACTGGGATGTGGTGAGTTTGAGGAGTGAGTGAAGTTGACCCATGGGCAAGCGGAGATACACACAAGTCAGCTGTATAGAAGGGGTATCTGGATTGGAGGATGGTAAAATTAGGTCATAGAAGTGGAGGAGACACCTCTGGGGATGCAGAGAGGGCAGAAAGAGGACCCAGACCAAAGATCAAGGAGCCTGTGGTTAGAGGTCAGGTCCAGGAGGAGGAGGAGTGGCCAGAAAGAGGGGAAACCAGGAAAGTATTGGGTCATGGACACCAAGGAGAGGCCATGAGTCATGGTGGCAAAAGCCATTTTGGAGGCAAGAGGAAAAGTAGAGATGGCAGTGTTTCCTTTAATGGATTATGAGTATAAATTTTCCTTTCGGTCCGATTTTTTTTTTTTTTTTCAAAAAGGATCTCTTTGCAGTAACATATAAACTAGTCAACAACAAAATCAAGATAAAAATTAAAAGCAGGCTGAAAATCCATAGATACAGAAAATAGATTAGTGGATGCCAGGGTGTTAGGAGGGGGTGACTGTTGAGGGGTACAGAGTTTCTTTTTGTGGTGGTGAAAATGTTCTGGAATTAGATAGTAGTGATAATTTCACAACCTCATGAATATACTAAAAACGACTGGATTGAACACTTTAAAATGGTGAATTTTATGATGTACGAATTGTATCTTAATTAAATAAAACCAAACAAGCTGAAACAATGGCACAAAGCCCAGGGTGACATGAAGACTGAGAAATTCTGTACTTGCTAGATGCAGGGCATGGATACAGGCCCTGAATTTCCTTAAAAGTCAGAGCAAAAAGGGAAATGAGGCAAGTTTTACCATTCCCAATGTCTGTGAGATAAAAATTAATTTATTGCACGAAAAGTTCAGCTATTCCTCCTAGTGCAAGACATGGAGATTTCTGCAGCGTGTCTTCATAAAAGGACATCCTGCAACACTGAGGATGATGCTCTCAACCAACCCCTCAGAAGAGTCACAGTGAGCTCAGCCCTTGTCCAGGAAGGGGCTCCAGTGGTGGATCCCATCTAAGCCTGGGAAAGCCGTGGACTTTCAAGTCAGCCTCATATCATCCAAGGCTGCACTGCATGCACCTGTGTTCTTGGCTCTGTGGGCGAGAACCACGGGAGGGCCAGCCGGGCTGTGGCCTTACAGGTGGCCCCTGACAGCAGGCGGCAGGCCTCGGCTGAGAGTGGGGTAGCAATGGCCCCAGGACTGCTCCTAAACTGGCTGTGAGACAAAAGTACTGTCAACTGGGATGGACACAACACAGCACTACACGGAAATTTGTTGACAGGAGTGAGGCCAATGCTCAGATGCAGAAAGAGGACCCTGAGGTCTGAGCTGGACCTTGACGTCTGAGCTGCACCCTGGCTGGCCTCAGACTGCTTTCCTTGCTTCCAGATGCAATATGCCCTCTCAGGCCAGGCTGGTCCTGACCAGGGTGAAGCAGAGCCCTGAGGTGGATGGAGGCTCAGGCGTGGTGGGAAGGACCAACCATGCTCAGAATGTACCATCCTTGAGATGGCCTTTCAGATTCTCAGGCTAGTAGGCTAAGAAATATTAGCCACTGCCCTCTCCCCAGCAGTCATAGCTACACGTCTCCTGCCCACTCCTCTGCCCAGCCCAGGCAGACTCACACACCCTAACCTCAGTCTCCCACTGATTGCACCTTTCCTTGATGCTACGTGACAGCTTTCTCTTTTACACTTGTGCACAGAGCACCCTTACACACCCCCACATCCAGCACTGCCTCTGGCTCCTGATGGTACTTCCTCTGTCCTCATCCACAGGGGAAGCCTTGGGCATCAAGTACCCGGTACAGGTCCCCTACAAGCGGATCAAGAGTAATCCTGGCTCAGTGATCATCGAAGGGCTGCCCCCAGGAATCCCGTTCCGAAAGCCCTGCACCTTTGGCTCGCAGAACCTGGAGAGGATCCTCGCGGTGGCTGACAAGATTAAGTTTACAGTCACCAGGTACTCAGGGGAAGGGCAGGGGAGAGGAGTTAAGACTAGCATGGGTCGGGGCGGGTACCCGGGGACCTTTGGCCTTTCTTTCAGTTAGTCAGTCTGCCCTTTCTGCTGGACAGGGTGGCTCTCCCAGCACCATCCTGGGTCCTGGAGGTTGGGGGGAGGACTGCAGGCCAGCTGGGGTGCAGAAGGCCCCACAGAGGTGAGACCAGCCACCACACCTCAACCATCACAGCAGGGGCAGCCTTCATGGGCACCTACTGCGTGCCCACAGTACCTGTTCACTGCACTCCTAGCCCCCTGGGAGAGGCGTTAGGCTCACTTCAGAGAGGAGGAAACCTAGACAAGTGATTAGCCCAAGGTCACAGAGCCAGCCAGGGCAGAGCCAGCCAGGGCAGAGCCAGTGGGAGACCCTTGTCACCCTCTTGTACATGAATTACTAGGCACCTCGTTTAAATGGCAATAGGTCTGGGATGGGCCCAAACCTTTCTAATGAGCCCCCAGGTCCTCCCCCTGATACTTTCCTCTCTGTTTCTTTTCCAGACCTTTTCAAGGACTTATCCCAAAGCCTGGTAAGAGGCACTGGCTGGGGGTGGGGGGCCAGAGGCTAGAGCAGAGCTTACTGTGGGACACAGGTTGTGGGGCCCTGAAGGAGGAGGCAGGAGGAGGAAGGTCAAACTGGAACCTGGGCAGAGAAGGGGGTGGTAGGCGGTCTTGGCAACTTTTAAGCTTCACCCAGCCAGAGTTCAGGAGGAAGGGGCTAGGTCAGTACACCCCTGATGAAGGGGCCTAGTTGCCCTTGGTGAGTAGGTGAGGTTGATGGCAGGTAGGTTTCTAACTTCAAAGGGACGGAAGTCCACATGGGGACCTGTGAGCTTGGCAGTAAGATGTAAGAGGTGCCCACTCAACTTTGGATGGTGAAATGCTTCTCTTGAGCCCCTTTCAAGGCATCTGTCCCCTTCCATCTCCTCCATGGGCTGTGTCCTGGCCCTCTCAAATCCTGAATGAGAGAAGCTGTCCCTTTGGGTGAGCATTCCAGACTCGCCCGGGCCTCCGGGGAGAAGGCTGCATATTACTGAAGCATTGACCCCCAGAGCCTGTGTATGGAGGGGAGAGGAGCCCTGCCACCTCACCCCCATCCCATGCCCACCCCAGGAGCCACTGCTGGTGTGAAAACTAGCCAGCCTGTGCCCTTGGGGGCGCTGTGCCAATGTGCTGGAAATGGGTGAGCAGTCACAGCATACCCAGATCAGAGGAAGCCTGTGGTACAGGAATCCATTTTCACAATCCTGTGATATCACCTTTCACTTGCGTGCATGCACACTCTCCCCTGCTCCCTGGAGATGTTCACTCCCCGTGCCCAGGCCTGGCTTGGGCTTCTGGAGAAGAGGTGAGAGCCCATCAAACTGGAGGGAGCAAGACTTCCTAAGGGGGTAGTCATGTGGCACCTGCTGTTAGGCTGCAGTGACCCCCCACTGCAGGAAGGGGAGTGAGAGTGGAGAGAGGCTGGGGAGGGTTTCCTGGGGAGGAAGGCTCTGGTTGGGCCTCAGGGAGAGGCAGGACTTGGAAAGGGGAGAAGAGAGAGGTAT